AAAAAAAAAATCACGAAAGAAACTATTCAAAGGTGGAAATACAGAAGTGCTTAACATGATTATTACTAAAAAACACAAGAACCATCAGAAAAGGAGGATATTCAAGACATGAGTCTTATAGCAAAGGAATCCACATGAAAGTAAACCGAGTCACAACAAAGCTAATCGAATTATGCATAACATGTGACGTAACAAAAAATATCATGAAAGAAACAATTCAATGGTGGAATTACAAAAGTGCTTACCATGAATATTACTAACAAAACAAAAACCATCAGAAAAGGAGGAGTCTTATAGCAAAGCAATCCACATGAAAGTAAACCAACCACATACAACGAACATAGATAAATCTTGATACTATCAAAAACAAACAATCGAGCTGAAAGAACCAATACCATTTCCTGCTAACAATGATCTTCTGACGACCAGGGAACTTGAATTTCGCACGGCGCAATGCCTCCTGAGCATGATGGCTGTTGACATCCTTGCAGCGTACAGACAAGAGAACTTGACCAATGGCCACACGAGCACAAGTCCCCTGTGGCTTCCCAAAAGCACCTCTCATGCCAGTCTGAAGCCTATCAGCCCCAGCACACGAAAGCATCTTGTTAATACGCAACACATGGAAAGGGTGTACCCGCACCCTCAGGTGAAAGGTATCCTTTCCGGAAAACTTGGTCATGTACTTGTTGCAAGCAATACGGGCAGCTTCCAAAGCCTCACTCGAGACATTTTCCTTCTCCCAACTGACCAAGTGCACGCAAAACGGGAACTCGTCCACACCTTTTTTCTTCATGCCAACATCGTAAATCCTGATTTTGGGGTCCGGCACACCACGACAGTATCGTGATTTCGGGTATGGTTTGTTCTTAATTTGACGGTAACACCTAGCAGGTCCTGGGCAAAAACAAATAGTAGCCCATATCACCAAACAGTGTACAGAACATGAAAATCGAAATAAGTAGTGAAAAGGGTACACAGGTACTTTGAAAAAACTATTCCATGGTCTCATTATCATTCAGAAGCAGATGCATATGAACAATACTTTAAAATATACGCAACACAATACAGGATCGACTGATACAACAGAGACTAGCCACACTACTACTATTCATTCAATAATATGATGCAACACAATATTATCTCATCCGTTTACTCTAACGACGATGTAATGGATACTAAATTCTAGGGTAAATGACTTTCTTGTCTAAGATAAGACATATACAACAATCATACAAGCTCATAAACAGAAACCCTAAATCTTTCTCCACTCGATTGAATATTCAATGACAATTAAATCTTACACATTATATCGTGAACAAAAAAAAAATCAAAAACTTGAGCAGATGATATGCAGCTCATGAATCTGTAGATCCACTGACCAAAACGGAGCAAAAATGTTTGAAATGAATCAGCTCAAATTACTAGAAATTAATTCCAAAAATCAATAATACGATAGCTTTTGCTAAGTCCACATTCACATATTGCATCTAAAACCATACAAATTAAAACTTCGAAAAACGGCTTACTTCTTCCCATGGCGACCTTCTTCCAAGTGTTTATTCGGCCAGAGATGAACCCTGTAAAAAACTAACCCTAATGAGCGAACTGGTCGGCGTCGGGTTAATATTGGCGCAGTATATTATGGGCCTTAAGTCTGTTGGGCGGCCCAATTCAGAACTTAAGATCCCACTTCATTTATTGTTTTATAATTTTTTAACTATTATTATTTTCTTACCAATATATTCTTTTTATTATTTTATATTTTTTACTATTAATTATTACTTTATCAACAGATGCCAATAAAGTGTTTTTTTTTTTTAAAAAAAAAAAGGAGATCAATATGTTCTCATAAGGTGGTATAATAATTAGTTGATATGGTTGTTACTGAATATAGATTTGATTTGAATTTCATTAGTTTTTGTTAATCATAATTAATTTTGAAAAAAAGAATGGTATAACTAATTGTGAGTGCTTGAGTTTATATTAAAATAATATTTAATAAAATAATCAAATTTGATTTAATGTAAAAATAGAAGGAATATTGTGTGAAGTAATGATTAATTAAAATTATCTAAAAATGAAAAGTGACATAAAATTGATGTAATGTTTAAGAATTTTGAGTATTATTATTTAATTATATTGTTACTATTGAGAATAGTGAAATTGAGTTAAAGTTGAATTAAATTTGATTGAAAAAAAAAAATTGATTGGATAAAAATAATTGAATTCTTTTGGAAAAATTTGTATCCAAGCATGCACTTGAACACCTCAAACTAAAAATTGATGGGGGAAAAACTAACATAAAGGCCCACAATTACACAAACTGCTCATCAGCTTCACAATCTTTACACAAAGCGATTTTCCTGATCGAAACAAGGCCTGATCGAAACAAGTTGCTAATAACAGGAACTCCTAAAATGCTGTATATTCTATTACAACCACTAAAAAGCTGTATTCCCAGGCAGTGTTTTGAATCACCCATCTTTCCTGCACGAATATGTAAGGGCAGTTAGTTAGGAGGGTTAGCAGGGATAATAATATATTTTCTAATAGAGTTTGAACGCGGATAATTGCAGATACTACCCCTGAGGTATAGCCAAATTATGAATGAACCTCTTTGGATTTATGTTAAGGACTTCTGTCATTTTGATGAGAGGCAAAATTTTTGTAACTAGACGAAACATTAAAAAAAAAAATGTTGAAAGAGAAATAGAGAAGCAAGATATGTTACTTTCTCTTTCTTCTATCAACTCCACTATTTCTCGGATCATTCTTCACGAAGGATCCGGGACCCATGCCATACTGCATAGGGGATGGAGCTTGAGTAACAGCTGGAGAAGGAACTGGAGGAATAGATGTTATTGTTGTAGTCGGCAAAGATGATGGGCCCACAGAAGCCGAAGGTTCGGGAAGTGGCTTTGGTAATATGTGCTTCAGCCGGTTGTTTCTATAGTTCTTCCAAAAGTAAAACTGCTGTCTATGCGCCAACTCCTATATATGGGTAAAAGACCAAATTATAATTAATAAGATTGCGGTAGATCTTAGCAAGAAATCACTAAATGCTAGAGAATTACTTCAATAAAACATGATATTTTGCACATTATGTCATAATCAGGATAAGTGTTTCGATATGACAGAATCGCCTGAAACCTTTTTTGTCGAAACAATGATTCTTTCTCATTATTTTCCATTTTCATTAAATTTATATAGTTTTAGTTTATTTTTGCCAACTTAAAAAAGTTGTATCAAAATAATTGTTAAAAGGGTAACTGTGGAGAATCGTTACTGTTTTCCTCTACAGAAAATACATTCTTGATTCTTGAAACCATACTGAAAAATCTTGTCGCATTTTTCCAATATACAATTTTTAATCACTATGATTGTTATAAGAATTTTAAACCTATTCGGCTGAGTAGAAATGCAGTGAAGATGAATGATCCCGCTAAAAACAACAATTTCATGACAAGTTTCCAATTTGCATTTGTGTACATACTGAAATACACAATGACAACAAATTACATAAACTAAGAGCGTAGCAGACCTTGTTTGCAGGATGTGCCATTGCATTTCGAAAGTTCGGGTTTTGGAGA